AGTGCAATATGGAGTCATGTCCAGAAGACAGCACTTGACAGCACTCCTTCCCATCCTTCAGCTTTCACACTCTTTCTGCTTCTGTTTCTTCTATGATGCTCTGTGAGCTTTGCTGATGGATGGTGGAGAGTTGGTGGCGGTCCTGGTGGTGGTGGTGGTGATGATGATGATGATATGGAAATCCCTCTTACTATCAGTACTCTGGTCGGTTCCACATCTCTCCACTGACTGCCACCAACTCCAAAATGAAGCTTCTCTGATCTGAATTTTATATAACCTTTTTAATACTTATTATATATTATATCCAAAGAGAATGGACTCCAAAAAAGCCAGTTCAAGGGATAAATCATGGTCCCACTGCTAATCTGGACTGACAGCGGGGGAACTTGCATAGGACCAAACTAGGCCCTTTGAATGTGGGTGACAGTTGTGTGGCTTGGGCAATCTGTGGTGTATCTATTTATAACAGTGGTATAGTGAAGCCCCCCTCCCCGTTATTCTGGTATGTGGGCCATCTGCCTCTTTATGTCCGTTAATATTAGTTTTATTAAAATGGGCAAAACATACGTGTGTGTGTGTGTGTGTATTCCCCTTCTGTCTGTTTTGTTTTATGTGCATTGGCTCTTGCCTACATGTATCCCGTGGTGTCTCATACCCTGAAACTGGAGTGACAGATAGTTGTGATCTGCCATGTGGAAATGGGAATAAAATAACATTCCCCAGCGTCCTGCATAGCGTCTGTCTGTTCCAGGAGTGCAGGTAGGAGCTGAGACCCCCAAACCAAGGCTCTAACAGAAATAGAGAGAATAAATGAAATGGGGATAAAATAACATGAGGATGGGAGGAGTTGTGGGGTTTCTGTTAACCAGAACACACTGAAGTATTGGTAGCCAAAGCACAGAAGTGGCTGAGGAGAGTCTCAGGAAACAAAGGCTGTGCTAGGTTGGCCTGAAGCCAGAGTCTAGCTGTGGAGCATGCAAACCCTGAATTGTGAACTCGGGGTCTGAGCTCAGCTGGAACCCCTGGATGCTCCCCAGGACCGAGGATGGTGGTGAGGCGGCTCTCAGCAGGCACGTGTACTTCATCCATGACTGTTTTGCAGATCCAAATGATGGCCACACAGACTCGAAGGAGGATGGGTCAACCACGCCTCACTCTGAGCTTTCATCCCACCTGGTCTCCGTTTCCTTCCTGGGATTCCTGGGAGCAGGTGGACGTGTCAGATCCAGACAGATTTTTGTTTCCCTCCAGAAATCCTTCCCAAACCCAGCCTCAGCGCCTGGCCAAACTCAGTGGCAGCAGAGAATAGCAGCGTGACACTGCGATGCGTGAGTCCCATACCCGGCATTCGGCTTGTTCTCAGAAAGGGAGATGCTGTTTTGGATTCCAGGCTTCCCCATCACTTGACAGAGGGGACAGCTGAGTTTCGCCTGACTAACCTTCAGCAGAGTCATGCTGGGTACTATACTTGCAGATACTATTTAAAGGAGTCCCCGGACAAAGTCTCACCTTCCAGTGATGTCCTCTTACTGTTGGTGACAGGTGAGGAGAGGCTGCCTCAGAACCACGTACACTGATTTTCACACAAGGATGAGCATGAAGCCAAGGGAATTTAGGGAGGGAGGGAGGAAGGGACAGCATGCATGGCCGGTGAGAAGGCTCAGCTGGTAGAAGCTTCGGCTGCCAACCCAAGCTTGACCCCAAAGACCCACATGGAGGAAGGAGAGACACCCACAGGTCGTCCTCAGACCTTCACATTCATGACATGGCATGGACGCCCCCCCATAAGTAAATAAAATGTTATCTTAAAAGAGTTGTCACCTCCAGAGTAGTTGGGAGGACATGAGGTGACCAGGACAAAATTGAATACCTCTGGCTTCCTCAGATCTGTAGGAGTGAAAACACCAACATGTCTGTCCTACCCTGGTGACACACAAGAGTGGCCATATCAACAGTTGATCAAGGGACAGAAAGGGCCTACAGGGACCTACTCTGTGTGTCTAAACCATTGGTTATGGTAGACACTGGGAGAGAGGACCACTCTCTTTAGATTTGTACCTTCCCCTGAGCCCACTAGGCTCCCACAGATAGCCCGCAACCAGCAGACACGCAAAAGGCCCCGGTTAGTCTTTGTGGGTCTCCATAAAAATGAATAGAAACAAACACAAGAGAGAGAGATGGATTTGAAGCTGCAGGATGGAAAGGATGAATATAGGACTCCAGACTTGACCTCTTCCCCTGGGATCTTGTTTCTCTTTCAGGATACTCGTCTCAGCCTTCCCTCCAGGTCCAGCACTTGGGTCAGGTGACCACAGGAGGGAAGGTGATCCTACAGTGTCAGAAGCCACACAATTCAACACAATATGAAATGTTTGCTCTGCTAAAGGAGGGAGCTTCATCCCCCGTACAGCTTCTGACTTCAGAAAATGACACTGTGGAATTCACCCTTCGGGACGTGACAGCCCACGATGCAGGAAGGTACAGTTGTGTGTACCTGCAGGCAGAAGCCCCTTTCTGGGCCTCCCATCCAAGTGACCATCGTGATATCTCAGTGACAAGTAAGGATTTTATGAGGGTTGTTTTTGTTTTCCTCTGATAAGACATATTTTATACCATAATTTTATTACAGCATCACTTGTAATTTCTTTCTTCTAAAACAGACCTGTTTTATTTTTGAAACGTGTGTGTGTGTGTGTGTGTGTGTGTGTGTGTGTGTGTGTGTGTGTGTGTGTGTG